ATACTTTATGTACATTTCAGGTCATGCCTTCAACGATGAGGACCGCTGTGTGTGCGCCGGTTACGACAACGGCGACATTAAACTCTTCGACCTGCGGAACATGTCTCTGCGGTGGGAAACCAACATCAGAAACGGGGTGAGGTGAAAACATCCGATCATATAAGTGTTGTGGCAGCTCTGTTACAAGTGATTTTTGTTAGCTTGTTGATGTTTAATACCTGATTTCTTTAGTCGTGTAGCCAGTGCGGCACCACTGCAAGAAAATTACACCCGTTTTAAAGAAAATGTGAATTCAAAGTGACAGCATGAATCATCCAGTTCGACTCTGCATAACAAAGAATAATCCCAATGCTGAGAATCGATGTTTTTATTAGGATTAACTGTCCAGACACGGCTCAGTTCTTTTGCACCACAACCTACATTTGAAAACAAAAATATGAGTTAGTATGGAGACAGAGCTGAAAATGACTTCCTTGCACATTAAAACCACAGAGAAGGTGAACGGTCCCTTCACATGCTGCAGACAAAGCGCTGCACTCTCACTAGACACATTGTGTTTGTAGTGGAGCCATGCCGTGTGATAAACATCCATAGCGTAAGTGTCGTTTTGTTCTTGCATCATGACCAGGTATGCTGTGTGGAGTTCGACAGGAAAGACATCAACATGAACAAACTGGTGGCCACCTCGCTGGAGGGGAAATTCCACGTCTTTGACATGAGGACCCAGCACCCCACCAAGGGCTTCGCCTCTGTTTCCGAAAAGGTAATTGAGCAGGGTGGAGCGAGCCAGACGGATGTTTGGCTCCCACGTACGGGAAAAATGTCAAAAGGTTATTATCGGTATTATTATTATTCTTACGTTGGTGTAGTACAGAGGGAAATGGGGGCACACGTCGTTCTGACCGTTTTCACAGCTGGAAGTGTTTGAGGTTGTGTTTGTCTGACATTCTCTGTGGCTTGATGTCACCGGCCAAAAATGACACCGGGCCGGTGGGCAGACAGAAGTGTGGCTTTTTGTGGGAAAATGGTAGAAAAACACACTTAAGCCGGCATTAGTGCTGAGCCCTGTTGGCCAAGTGTTTGCTAGCCCTGAGCGATCGGGGGCCTCGGCTTTCTAAATATTTGTCCAGTTCTTCTGAGAGATCAACAGTTGGCACATCAGTGTCTCCAACCGTGAGTTGTTGGGTTTCATCAGGATTTTTTTGTCCAAAATACAAAAAAGACAAATCGAATGTAAATGCAGGTCTATTGTTTGTATTTATTAATATTAAAGTCATATTCACAGCATCTAGACCAGCTAGCGGACTCTGAAGGAGCCATTTGCTATTAAAAAAGTAGAATATTGTTTTTTGTTGTCATTTCCACATGACATTGTGTCTTAAAACTAAACTCAGTGGTTTAAATGAACTCAATAATGTTGTTTTCTTCTGCAAAGCTGCATACGTAATGGCTGCAATTCAGTTTGGCCAGTTTAAAGTGGAGCGCTGGGGAGGGTGGGGGCAGAGGAAAGAGGTCTCATGAGTGATTAAAATAAAAACGAGTTCACCAGTCACCTGGCTTTCACCTGATTTCAAGTCAACACCAAGGAAGAGTAGAAACTCTGAGAGACAGCAATCTGGGCAGAAAGATGACACAACAGCAAAACCACACAGTTTGACCTTCGTCGGCTGAAAGTGGCTGAAAGCTTTTCTGCACAGCTTTACAATGTGTTTTGGGAAGTGAACGATCCCTGTTCTTTATTTCAGGCTCATAAATCAACCGTCTGGCAGGTGAGACATTTGCCTCAGAACAGAGACATCTTTATGACTGCAGGGGGAGCAGGCAACCTCCATCTATGGAAATAGTAAGTAATCAGTCAAAGCTTAAGCTATATACGTGCACACCGTGGAGGCTGCTTTGTAAGAATTTAATTTCCTGCTTCGTGATGAATTTATCTTTATGTTTCTGATGTAATTTCCAGCGAGTATCCTGCTCAGAGAAGCAAAAAAGACTCTGACGACGTGGATGTCGGTGTCGCCGGCTCCGTCAACCTCTTACAGAACGTCACTCTGTCCACTCAGCCGATCGCCAGCCTGGACTGGAGCCCCGACAAGCAGGGCCTGTGTGTGTGTTCGGGCTTCGACCAGTCTGTCCGTGTCCTCATTGTCACCAAGCTCAACGTAGTGTGAAAAAGCAGACCACTTCCAAGACTCTTGGGCAGCTTAAAATGAAGTCAGACACAACTGCAGAGATGCACCAACTGTGTGTGAATGACACTGAATCGTCTCTTATTAGAGGACACCGGTTTCCTGCTGTGAGTCTGGGCAACTGTCTAGATTTTGCACAATTGTTTTCTTGCCAGACAACACTTTAACTCAAATGAACTGGGGAGTCTTGTTTGGATTTGGCCGTTTTGTCTCTGTTGATATCTCTGAAAATGTGTCGTGCCTGATTTTTATCCTGGAGTGTGGTAAACATCTCTCTGTAACACCATTATACATTTTCCATATGACTATAAAGCCTCTATTGAGATGAAGGATGGAGTCATACAGCCTTTGGCTTGGACTGATTGATGAACAAAATGAATTTCTTGATCAATTTCCATTTTTGTAGGAGGCTCTGAGTATCACCTGTCTTCTGTTGTTGCACTGCGGTGAACATTGTTGTGCTCCAGTTTCATTTGTTGTTAAAGTTGTTGCTTTTGATATGATATTTTTTTGAGAACTCTTGTTTTTTCAAATTAAACGTGGGTTTGGAGAGAAAAGGGTTGACCTCTGGCCAAAAAGATTTCTGAAATCACGTGCAAGTAAAGTCAAGAGAAGTACTTTTTTTATAAACACGCTTAAAACAAAATATGCTTCTTTTTTTTTTTTTTTGGTGTGTTGAAAGCAAACTGTTGCTCAGTCGCGGATTCAAAAAGATGAGATCAGGTTACAAACTTCATATCCAGCATTTGAACTTGAAGAAGTCCTGTAGTTCCTCGTCGTCCTCCTGTCGGTCGTGGATCCTCGCGTAGATGCTCTTCAGCAGCCTGGTCATGGACTTTGCATCCAGAATGTCGATGTATTTCTCTATGCAACCTGCAAACACAGCCACACATCAGAACATCAGGAATACTGAAAACAAACCCTCTAATATGTGCCGCTTTGTTCGAAATCTTTAATCAAATGTGAACATCTTTACATACTGAAGCTGTTCTAACCCGACTTGCCCTGCGGCTAGTGGGCTACTTGACATCATGCTGCATGTATGTACTACTATGTAATATGTCATGCCATCTGTCTGACCATCACACCAGCTGAATGTGATACATCTCTATAAATAACATGACATGGCATGTCACATGGGTCCGGCTGCATGATTTCAATACAACACATTTGTTAAATATAGTTCAGCTGAGTGCTAATAAAAACCACTGCAAACCAGCGTTTCCCACTAAATCGCACAGTGAGCGCAGTGTTTGTTTAAACGCTGTCGTTCAGGATGGGTGGAGTTTCACACATAGAGCAGCGTAAAGAATGATACCGTTGTATTTTTTACAGACGGTCATTTTTTTTCTGTGTCTAAAAATCTACTAACCTCTTCTAAGACTAACACAACTCAGTCTGTTGTATTTATAATAGTTAACAGTGCTTACTGAGGCCCATGACTTTGCCGTGTGCTACGAGGCAGGAGCCCAGCTGTGGGTGGTCGTACTGCTCCTGCGACATCAGCAGGCGAACGGTCTCTCCCGTGATGAAGGCGTCGTCGAAGCTCTGCTCGGCCACGGGCTTCAGAGGGAATCTGCAGTACACGTCCACCGCAGCCCGAGGGTCGGCAGGCTCCAGCAGCTGCACAAGCTCGATGTAGACGTCGTGGACCTAAACAGTCGGTTAATTCATTAGGCGCTGTCATCTGGATCGCATCAATAGAGAGGGGGAATTAACATCACACATCTGCTCTGGAGAAATAAACACAGCTCCTACAGGTTATCCAAATGTTAGGACATCTTTGTCTACAGTGTTCTTGAGCTGCAAAAGGATGAATATAGGAACGAATCAAGACATTCCTGAGGAAACGTCAGCTAAATGTGATCCGGCTGATCAGCTAATGACATTATACCAGTGCGTTCAGACTGCGGATAATTCAGGAGAATAAGAGCAACAGCTTTCCTGTCTGTGACACTCTCCTCTGAAAATATTGTAGAAAACTGTCAGTTTCTAATCCAGCAGAGGAGCATGTGATCATTACACTGGAATTAATCACCCAGACTGGAGTCGCACAGTCGGGTGGGTGTGAAAAACGGTGATGTAATCTTATTTTATAGCCAATGTAAGCCAGCCGCATTGCAAAACCACAGAGGAAACGCCTGAGATCTGAAGGCAGCCACTGACCCCTGGTGCCATGGCGATGACCTCCCGGTAGAGCTGTTTCGCCTGATCCTGGGTGTCCGCGGAGCGTGAGAGGGCTCGAGCCAGACCCAGCCTTGGCACATGAGACCTGCGGTTCACTGGGCTGGACACGCCGACTCGGTCTGCCTCTGAAACAACAACTACATACATACAAAGAGTGCAATCACATGCATTGGTAGCTACATACAGAACAACATACAGTATGTTGTTTTCATGCTTTGCCATAGAGGAGGTTTCACAATTACAAAACAGAAGAACCCTGCAATGTTTAATATCTCATTCTCGACCTGTTTAATGTTTACATGCTCCTGCAAAATTGATTTAAAGAACATTCCTGCACCTGAAACAGTGTGGGGTACGATGTGATGTCGACTTATATGCATATTATCTGCAACATAAAGTAAAACGTGCAGGGAGAAGAGATAACTAAGAGAAATTGGCGTTAAGATTTGTCAGGCAAAGTGTCATTCTTTTTTACTTTTTCCATTTTTCGTAACTCATTCTCATACATTCAGAGTTCATAAGCCTCATTTTGTACTCTTGATTGTTCAGTTTTCAGTTTATGATACATGCTTGGAGCTTACAAAACCCATTCGCACCTCTTCCAGACTAACTGTGGAGGCTTTCACTCGACTGTCTGTGCTTCTCAGTGCATCTGTCACGCCTTACCCTCTGCCTTCTCAACACCATCAGGACGACGCTCCTGTTTAGACTTGTTGGCGGGGAGCTGGGCTTTGGTGCTGCTGTTGGAGGGTTTAGCTGATCTATCCGGCTTGGCAGCTGCTCCAGCTCTCCCCCTACAGGATAGAAAATATAGAACAAAAGCTCCAAAATGGCCTTTCAAAATTACAAGTCTGTTTATGCTGTTCTGGCAGAATTTGTGCTCATGCAGAGAACATGGCACACGCATCGCATTTATGTCAGTGTGAAGGTTGTAGACACGATACAATTAGTAAATATACAGTCATATGTCAAGAATTTTTCAACGTGTTTTAGTGTACTTTAACTTTCATGGCCTTCTGTAATTCACACAATTCATGTTTTATGCAGCAGGCCTCGTATTTAGCAGCATACCAGAGCTATTAGAAGACATGCATCCACAGGAAATGATCCATGAATAAATGAGTAACAAAAACATCCACAAGCAACCACACAGCACATCTACCAAAGCCTAGACTCAGCGGGCTGCCAGCGTGACTCACCTGGCTGCAGGAGCTCTGGCTGGAGGCCGGGCAGCCTTGGCCCCCCTGACAGGAGCTGGAGGAGCTTTGGTTACAGCTACTCGCCCTTGGCTCGGCCCTCCTCTGCCCTGCTTGGCTCCTCTTTTTGCCACACCGGTGTCACAAGGACCCTTCGCTGCTGCTGCTGCTGCTGCTGCTGGTTGGGCGGCGGACTGCTTGGGAGCTTTCTTGTTTTCAGCCTGCAGGCGGTCCTGCCACCACTTCTGCTCTGGGGAAGCAGGAAAGAGTTCACTGTTAGAATCAAAGGCCTGCAGAGACATTTTAAGCCCACCTCGACATGATTACCTGCTAGTCGGTTGTAAATCTGAAGGAGATGAAACACCTTAAAATAAACCTACAGACACTCACTGCTCAGCTGTTCAGGTGGCTCCCCCGACTGAGTCTTGAGTTCCAGTTCAACGCTGGCCTGGAAGCTGAGGCAGGCATCTCTTATTGCTTCCTTTGACCTCTCTGAATTTGGGTTGTTGTCATACTGAGTCAGCTGGGCCAGACCCAGCAGACAGAGGGTGTGGCTGTCCCGCGGCGTGGTCACCACTGCTAGCTGGCATGTCTGTACGCAGCAGCAGAAGGTGCAGGTCTGAGCTCTGTGATGCTCTCGACTTTGTCAAACACAAACCGAGCACTCTTACCCGCTCCTGCATGTCCAGCAGCTCCTGACAAGGGGCGATGGAGGTGAGACGTATGAGAGCGGCGAGGGCCTGGCATCTCTTGGCCACCAGGGAGGGCCTCTCGGTGCCAGTCTTAGCCTGGCTCTGCTGGATCAGCCTCTGCAGCAGGGCAAAGTGAGCATCCAGCAGCACCCACTCCAGCTGCCTGCTCGCCTCGCCACGACACACACACTGACTCACACTCTGGGCAGTCAGCACCGCTACGCTGAAGCATTCCAGCACAGAGACAAGAAGACACGGGTTTTTTTTTTCTTTTTATGCAGCGCTCAAACACATAAACTGGCTCAACGTTGAGACTTTTCTTTGGATCACACATTTACTGTGGATATGAGTGAGACAGGTAATTGGAGCTGAGAAGAAGTAATAAAACCAACAAAAAAAAAAAAAGAGAGGATCTGTCAAATAAAACTCGTGGTGCGTAACATACATGTGATAAACCAGCTCGGCGCTCACGGCTTTTCCAGACAGCGTGTTTCTCTGCTGCAGCTGACCCAGAGTGAGGAGGCCTCGCAGGAAATGTGTACTGAGGCCGGACAGGGGGTCTGACGGATCCTGATCCACCCAGCTGCAGACAAAATCATAAAAACTGGCCGTGAATGCGACGATAAACCTACATACAAGCAAAGGCATCAGAAGGCTCAACCTTAGCCCACACTTTATCCACGTTAAATCAGAATTTTTGTTTTTTGTTTTTGGATTGTCCGTGTTCCAGCAGCAGAAACGGTGGTTCGTGGAAAACCCACGGCCAAAATTAGACTTTGAATTGTCTTTTTTTTTTAAATCCTAACAATGGATGACACCACAGATAAGTATGTCATTGTGCTCCAGCAGACTTTTCTCTCTATTCTCCCTTCTGCAGGCTTAAACAGAACATCCTGCTACATTACTGTTGCTGTCATGCCCTCACACTCTCTAGCTCTCTCTCGCTGAATGCATCCACCTCCACCACACACACACACACACACACACACACACACCTCTTGCTGCAGCGCTGGCTGACAAAGTGCTCCAGTCCCTGTTGTAAGAACAGAGCAGCCTCCTTCTCGGTGTCCTCAGACGCTTTCTGCTCCTGATGCAGCAGAGCCAGCCCCGTGAAGAACCTGAGGAAGGGAAGGCAGCTCGTGTTGAAGACAAAACCTGCTCTTGGGTGCAGTTTTTCATGTTAATCTAGACCCCGCTGACACTGCTGAACAGGCCTCATCCCACACAGCACTCTTTTTTTCAACCCCTATATGAAAATCTGATCTCATATAGGGCTCCTCACTCTTCAGATGAGTGAGCGTTTGAAGAGCAGGTTGAGAGGTTGGTCAAAGCTGCTCTTATGTTACATGACACACGGAGGGAAACTCGTACTGAAACCCTTCTGTGTGCTTTCTTTCCTCAGAACGTCAATACTTCAGCTGCAGTTTGTATGAAAAGGTGACGTTTAAGGTTCTAGCAGGAGATGAAATACAAGACCGTGTACTGCTTCATATTTTTTCATGCGTGGCCTTTAAGTTGATCATATCATGCTTCTTGGTGTGAGATCCTTAGGTAGAAACCTCACATTTCTTCTTCTACTACCAACAACGCTCTTCTGTGAGCCAACCTGAGAGCAGGATGTAGGGGACGCAACGCCAGGCCACTCTGAAGGTGCTGCAGGGCCTCCCTGCTCCTTCCCTGCAGCAGCAGCAGCCTTCCTGCGTGGAGGTTGTACTCCCAGCTGTCTGGACTCAGACACCAGGCATCCAGGTACTTCATGAGGGCTCGGTGGACGCTGCTCCCCTCGTCCTGCAGCGCTGCATTGCTGTCCTGCAACAAGATCGGGGGCAGGATGTTTGTCACTTATTGATGAGTAATTATTTAGTGGAGGCGCTAATTCTAAACAGCTTTAAAGATCAGTAAATACATGTCATGACAGTGTCTAACATTATATTATAAGATAAGATTAGACAAGAAAAGATCAACTTCATTGATCATGATTACATGTTACAGCGGCGAGGTGCAAATGAGTCTTTGAATAAGCAAGAAAAGAAACACAAAAGTACAATAAGGCTAAAAAAAAGAGCGATAGAATAAAAACATGGTAAACCCTTCACATGTGCAAATGGTGAATACACACAGAAACATGTACAGGTGTGACATGATGGATGGATGATGTGTGTGTAGAACTGCACATTTTTGCTCCATTTCTGTTGTTGCACTCAACAAGTTATGTAGAGAGAAAATCAGTGTTAACAGGATGGTTTTGCACTTGAAACGATTTTATATTTTCTTGATCTGGAAGAGCTACAAAGAGAAAAACATTGTGATATGTAGTTGCTGCACATAGCGAGATAAAAGTGTAAAACTTAAGAATGAACAATCGTTGACAGTTTCTTGTGTTTAACTACATCTAGCAATGGAATGCAAAAAGGTATCAGCGAGGTAACTTCCACTTAATTTGTTAAATGATAAAAAGTCACAGTGGGTTTGTTTGGACACTTAAATAAGGGATGCAGTCAGTCCATCATTAAAAACCTCTGTGGAGACTTGAATGTCTTTGTAGAGGCTTTCTAAACGGTGACTGTAATATCCTGAGACCCTGAACCGGATAAGCGGTTTAAAAACGGGGCAGGAAGGCTGTGCATGCCATCAGATCAGTCATAGGTCAAACAGCACTTCTATTGATGTGGGAGAGACAGGCAGAGATGGCAGAAGCTGCTTATCCATACTGGCGTCTCACTAATTCTCTCACCAGCATCAGACACAGATGTATGCTCAGGCAGTGAGGCAGCAGGTGCCCACAGCGTTTTACAACAGAGATGATGTCTGTGATTGTTAAGTTATGAATTAGATTATGCTGTGTGCATATGTATTTATTTATTTAATTTTTCACCTACAGTTCAATTTTTTTTTACTATTAGCAAGAGGGCAGTGCTGCCATTTTTGAGTGAGTAGGTGTCAGCTCAGGGCTGAAGAAGAGAAGGAGGCTTCATTAGTGGGTCCTGGGCAGGTGTGTTTCCTTTGTTCTTCATTGTGCTGATGACCGCAGAGATGCCACTGGTAGGTTGAGACAGTTTCAACTATATTCAAAGGATTAAATTGTAATTGTCAATTTGAGTTATGTTATGTTGGGATGTTAAATGGTTGTTGATAGATTAATTAATTAATATGGGTTTGTGTGTGTGTTTTTTTTTAAGGTTATCAACTATTGACCACTCAGCCTGATTCCTTTTTGAAAAAATGAAATAAAAGATGGAAATGAGTGAAGTTGACCAGCGTCCTCTGTGATGGTCAATGTCGAGTCGAGTTTAGGCAGACAATGAAGTTCATGACCCAATAACTCGACAGTGACGTTTGACCCAGTGGACCTTTTTTTTTTTTTCATTTCTGACGTGTCCATATCCTGATTTTTCACTTAAAATTATGTTAAATTGAACACCTTTGAAGGCTTCCAAATCCGAGCCAATGAGCTCAGCTTAAAGGCAACATGTGATGCAGTTACCTTGCCAGTTTTCCTGGAGAGCCAGATATAAAGGGTCTGAACATAGTCTGCTTTGTTCGACTGGCCCTGCTCTTTGAGCTGCTGATACTCCTTATCCAAGGCCTGCAGCTGGTTCTCCACAGTGGGTGTGCCGAGGAAACCGTGCAGTTTACACACAGCCAGGATGTCATCCTGATGCGCTGCAGATTTGGCATCGCTTACTTCACCTTTGTCCCTGTCAGCCTGGAGATGAAGGATGGAACAGGTGAGAGGTTGTACTGCTTTCAGCTTTCTATGTTTTCTTTTTACTCATATTATGATTCTCTATTAGTAAAAAAAATGTGTTTTAAAAAACTGTTCAGATGAAAGAGACCATTCACATTATATTTGCAAAGCAGGACTACTTTAATATTTCCTTAAAGCTTTTTTCACAAATTGCTTGACCTTCACGAGACATTTCAAAGTAATGTTCCAGCAGACCTGAGTTTTCTTGTATTGAAATTTCGTTGTACTTGAGCAACCACAACGTTTTTCAGTCAGAATCCTTTAAGGCCACACTTACGGGACATTTTGATTAAGAAATTTTCACATTTGAATGTGTTGAACAGTCAAAACAACTTTAATAAAATGTGTCCTTTAGTGAAAACCATTAAAAGAAGATGTTTTATTAGCCATATTTCTGCTACAGCGACTCGTCTGCACACAACCTTACAGCATGTTACTGATAGCGCTTGTCTGTCCTGCCGGTACCTTCCTCTGAAGGCCGTACATCCCCGTAGCGTGGTGCTGCTCCTCCAGAACCAGGCCCAGCAGAAAGTGCAGCCTGGCATCTCTGGAGCCGAGTCTGATAGCTGACGCATAGCAGACAGCAGCCTGCTCCAGGCTATGCAGAGGAGACTGACCGTCTTCGTATCGCAACAGGTCCCCTGAGGAAATGTGAAAAACAAACAGTGTGGTACATCATATGCACACATCAGACAACACGACCAGAGTATTTGCATTTGTGTGCGAGAGAATTTGCATCAATATAGAGCTGAGAAACTACATTTCACGTTGACTTTATTCCTCTGCTCTCAGGCACCACTGGTTTGGGTTTAGATTTAATGCATAAAAAACACAGAATAGCTCGTGTATATCGCAATAATTACTGATAACAGTTTTTACTTTATTTCTGAATTTACTGAGAATGAAGGAAGTAACTAGTAACTAGCTACTCTCTCATGAAAACACTCACTCTGGAATGAAGTACTTACACTACCCTTTAAAATCGTGTTTGCGTTCATCCAAGCATAAAATACTTTACAGTACACTGCATTATGAAAAATAAAACAGCTTTAGCTTCCTTCTCTTTCACTTTACGAATGATCGGATGCGTCTTTTGCATGAAATATTCAGAGCGAGTAACTTCACTTGGCAAGAGTGTCCTTTATCTGTCAGACTGCACTGATGTCACCGATTTTAAATTGTAATGTTTCAGGGAATACTACAAAATCTGACAAGCAAACCCGCACAGTAAATACTGTTATATTAAAATGAATTACAGCTTAATTTTTTACCAATATAGACCAGATTATAAAAAGTTCTGTTGTCTAATGAAAACATTTTAATGTTAACATAAGCGGTAAACTGTCTCAAAACAAACAGTCTGGTCACAAAATCAAAGCAGTGAAACTGCACAACGCTTTTTATTCGTCGTCTTCCGTGCGGCTCGATGTGCAGAAAAAGCTTGTTTATATTTTAAGAAGCCTGTCTCTCTCTCTCACTCTGCTGCTGCCTCTCGGTTCAGTTCCAGTGACTCCCATTCAGTCATCGGGGATCAGTCTCGAATGTCACGTCGCCCAGTCATCAAACAATTAGCGAGGCACGAGTAGCTGAGAAAATACGAGCAGTAACTCGAGTGCCTGGCACGTCAGATAGAAGTGGAAGTTTCAGAGGCAACCACCAACCGTCTCTCCCTCGTTTTCATGTATTTTTTAAAAGTCAAAGCTGAGCTGCTGTTCCAAGGCAGGGCAAAGAAAACATCCCCCCCCGGCCAAGGATGCATTTAAATGCTCAACAGACAGGAAACTCCAGAAACTCTGTGTTAAAGTGGAGTGGATGGTAATTTGGACAGATTTGTCTGCATTTTATGAGTAACAAGTGTAAAACGCAGATATTGTGCTCTATTAATGATAATATATTTGCCCTGTGTCTGACCTGCATTCTCTTTTGGATCGACATCGTCCAAAAATGCAGCACACTGATTTTATTAAGTGTTAAAATGTTGGCGTGAGAAGGTCACCGGAGTCAGCGGGGGCGTATCAGGATTTTTAGTCGGTGGAATTGAACTCCCTCACCATTGGCTGCCACTACACTTTGATAGATGACTTTTAATTTCTGATCCTACACTACACTACAGGTGCTACATGCCTGGTTTTGGCAGGTTTTGCCTGTAGAGCTTCAGGTGCTCCTGGGCCAGAGCACACAGTTTATCCACATCGTCGTCTCCGGTGGTCATTTGTAGTCTCTTCTCCCAGCTGCGCATCTGCAGCAGATAAGACAAAAGACACCGAGCTGTAACGCTTAAACATGTAGACGTATGCAAATAGGAGCGATGACTATATGAGCAGCTGTTGTGATCCTATATGGAGCAAAGAAAAAGGATGCAGTGATGGAAAATTCATCTAAACCTACTTTTTGCAGCTTTGTATGGCCGTGACATAATCATTTACTAACTAAAGAATATCTAATGGTATCAGATTACCTTGAGATAATGAAGAATGGATTCTGTTTTATTGATTTTCACTTAATCACTAACTAAACACTATGTACCACAACATCCTGTCTTTTTATCATGTGTCAATAAAAGAAACTATACAAGTTGTGAGTATATTACATCACTAGGACGGTGATTGCAAAGTCCAGCTGCCATCACTGGAGAGAGCTTAACCCTGGATGTGGCCATAAATCTATCTAAATTAAACTTGCAATACATATGATTACAAAAACATTCACTGAAAATACAAACTACCAGTACGGAGCATTACCTCGCAAGTGTGTTTAGTCTCTATCTCCAAACACCCGGACGATTCAAAGTGCTTCTTGTACCACTCTGTCTCAGTGACATCCTGGAAGAACAGATCCCTTGGTTACCCTGAAAAGATTATTTAAACCTCCAGACATATAGATGAAGAAGTTGAAATTAATTTACCAGATTCAGGCAAAAGATTAAAGCTTCAGCTGGACTCTATTCAGTGAATTTATTTAATACAGAGCTGTGTTCACCATTTTTAGGTGTGACAACAAGTCTTTAAATGCAAAAACACAGTAACAAACCTGAGCACTGTTTCATCCGATCTCAACTCACCACACGCAAACACGAGCTACTTTTACTGTGGAAGTTAAACCAGCACTTAGTCACTGTGAAGGGAGCGCTGACTTGTAAATAAAGGATGAGCGGAGTCAAGGTCGATAGCAGCGATTGTGGCGACGCCGAGCGCTTCGCAATCTTTCATTCTGACCTTTGCATCCAGGTCCCCTGTGGGCTTGTGTGGACAGTCCAGAGAGTGTGACCCCAGCTCGGACAGTTTGATCACACTGTCACATCCTTTGTTTAAAACGAGATCAAAGACACAATACATCACACATTAGAGGTGAAAACTACTACAGTGTTGTCTTTTTCTATTGAGAAGCTTAACAGAAAATCCACCTAAATGACAAATACGTTGCAAGTTGAATCACATTACTGTCGTTTTTACAGCCTAGATTACGCTCTTAGTTTATTTAACAGCTGCCAACTGTCTAAAATAACAACTGAACAATTTGAAAGAAGTGTTGGCTGTCTAGAAGTAAACGTCTAACTAAGCAGAGGGAAATCATCTGGATATAAAGGACTGGTATAACATCCAGCCTTCACCCCATGGCTGCTAGATACATGAGGTTTTAGTTAAGTAACAATATCCCCCTCGTTACAGCAACATAATCTTTGTCTACAGCCCCATCATGTTATTTGATAGTATAGGTTGTGTAATCAGGGCTGCTGTGAGGTAAAGCACAGTGCACCTAGCATATTAACAATGCAGTTATACAACCATTTCTTAAAGGTAGAGCTACTCTAGGTGCAGAAAAAAATAATTCTTAAAGAGTCCCTGTAATGGCAATGACATCTTTTTTTTATTCATCGACTGGTGTGACATTCATGGTCTTCGAAAACCTGGCGAGCAACTACCTTTTTCCTCCCCTCTGTACCGTTCGCTTTTTGCTTTGCTTCAGGCAGAAATAATAGTGGGTCTATTACTCCACCAGCTGACCTTCAACTCAGCACATAACTACTTTGCCTCCACAGCAGCTCTGCTTTAGACAAATCTCTCTGAGAAGCTACAACTTCAAGCTTCACCTCGGTAAAAAAAGGAACACTTGACCAGGGAGGCTGACATCCTCCTGTCGAGTTCCAGTTCAGCGACCTTCCAGCCGTCTCCCAGGGGACAATCGCTAAGTGGGTCGACTTTTGATCTCCGTGCCAGCATCTCAATGTAAGGCCTTGAGAAGATGCTCTTTGGATCGCTGCAAATCAACAAGAGGACCGGCTTGATCTGCACGACATCTGCTGAGCCAGGTAGAGTGTGCATAGTCTGAGATGTTACAGCATGTAACCATTCTTTTTAAGATAAAGGGTAAAATGACTATCTTTAATTATCCTGCATGAATCAAACTGGCAAACTCCGTCCCATACTGTTGGTTTTAATTTCATTATTTTACAAATGCATCAACTGTGAAGTGCATTTCAGTAAAATACAAAAAGGTGCTGCTACTACTGCAGCCAACATTTTATCATTCATCTACACATACAAGTCTCACCTGTGCTTGATAGACACAGGCCTGTAAAACGCACTCAGGGAAACTGGACATTCGTAGTCCAGCTGCTGCTTCCCATCAGTGAAGGTCACCGGCATCGGAACAAGTTCCCGAGTCACCAACACTTTGTACGCCTGGCAGAGTTAGAGGGGCATCAGGTGTATTGCTTTCTGACGGTCAAACACGCAAAGTTCCTTGAATCACACCAGTACTACTGCTGTGGGGTTTTTCTCTGACTCATAAGGAACCTTTGGGAGGTGACTACACACAGTAATAAACACCATCAGTCCTGCACAGTCACAGCAATGAGTCTGTGTCATCTCAACTGACAGAAATCTGTGTATTTCTGTGCTATTTCTGACCATCTGATAAACAAACATATATATTATGCTTGAGTAAATGCCATCTCAGGTAACAAAAGTAGTAGTGCTATTCTCCGTTCTTATCATTGTGGTGCTGGTGATATTCCTTTGGTGCTGGTTAACACGCCAAATATTCCTCTCTGCAGGAAAAACCCTGCGATTATGCGCAGTCATCTATTCACGTCTCATCATACCTGTGAAACACTGCCATCTGCTGAGCACACTGAAATCTCCACCACAGTGTCTCCAGCGTTCAGGTCGACTGGTTGTGAGCTGCTCAGCCCGTTCACCGTGCATTTTATGTTTCTGTCTGGCACTTTGGGAAGCAGTGTGACGGATTTACAGTAAAAGGGAACAATACCTGAGGGGAAAAAAAGTACAGTGAGAGGAGCAGAAATCCAAAACATACGTGTTTGATATTTGAATTAGAGCTAAAAACAATTAATTGATTTCAAAAAGAAATTGCAATTTGAAACAATGCAATTAGCAAATCATAAAAACTGCAGTTTAGGAGCAGGTTTAAATTCTTGGTTTCATAAGTTCATGTTCATTGTGTGACAGTCATACTTTTGATGGTGTCGTATGTGGTAATGCTCCATCATGTGTTTTAAATCTATTACACAGAGAATATTGAACTGAAGCTTGTTTTAAAAGTGATTTCTCATGTCAATGCACGAGAACAATATCTGTCAGAAAAATCTCAACAAGATCCTCAAATGATTTCACTCTAATTTCAAAGCAAACTGATAAATTATTATATTTCTGCACATTTTTACATAAAAATCAATATGAAAGGACATATTTACACACATATTTACACTAACACTGATATTGTTGATTTGCAAATACATTTTTATCTATCAGTGTATTTGCCTATGTATCAAAACAATGCACAACAAGATGGCATAACTTCAAAACAACAACAGAAAGGCTGTTTGACAAGTGATAGTGAAGTCTGTACTCACTATTGTATTCATAGACTTTGGTACAAAATGCAGGTTCAAGTGGAATATCTCCCTCCAAAACCAGATCGCTGAGCTCTGCGATCTTCGCTGACAGCTTGGTGATTTCCACGCTGTATTTCTTCAAGGTGCCATCCTCGGCTGCCACCTCGATTTCTACTCTGTTCAAGCCATCCTTCAGGTGAATGGTGCTGGAACGGTCACCAAAGAGCTGAAAACACAAGGTTAAGTTGGATGTGAGAGAGGCCTGTACGAAAGAAAAAGCCTTTCAGCTTGCAGGATGGTACTCACAATGCTGTATGAGGCTCCACAGTCACTAGTAGTCAGGTCCAGAGTCACTTGGCTGACATCGCTCTCCACTGTCACTTGGTAGTCTGTGACTTGTGGTGTGAAGTCTGGATGGAGCTTCCCAGCAGAAACAGAGAGCTTCTCCAAATCACAGTTGTCCATGCTTTAAGCCTCCTCTGGTTTACTGTTGTCCAGCTACCACAGTGTGGAAAGTCTCGGCTCTAAACGCACTAAACAGCTGTCTCACATGTCAACACACCCATTTACCGCACTGACGCTCCTGGTTGCCATAGTAACGTGAACACCTCTGCTGCCTTCAGGTATTAAATTACGACTTTTAAATGCCTTTTACCGTTTTACGTTAACACAAAACAATTCCCACGTGTTATTTTTTATTTTTTTAAATTCGATTTCAATTTTGACAATGTGTTAAAAACTAGTGAGTTTGACGACTATATTAGGATGAACGTACCGCTAGCGTCACTATTAAGGAAAAACACGAAGAGATAAAGGCAGCTGTAGCCGTTAAACAACAAACAGAACGCTATTTTTGTAGATCAAGTTGTTAACAAGCTATAAAAGTAGGTTATTAGACACCGTTTTCAGTCAGAATATTCAAAACAGCCCATGCTACGTAGCTACTCCGCTCTTCCAAACGGCAGACGGCAGTAGAGCACCGAAGAAGAAGAAGAAGCGGAAGTAGTAGTAGTAGTAGAAGAAGAAGGAGCGTCGTTGTTTTATAACGTCACTTCCTCTCGGCTAAAGCGTGTCGAGTGCTAAAAGGGTAAGTCTGTCAAATATAGTCTTGTTGTATTCATTTCCAAGTCAGCAATTGTTCCATTTAAATCACTAATACGTGGCTTCACAAACAATCTGTAGCGGATTTTAAGTTCACTTCTCCGCCTTTAAACTGTTATCATGTTAGCAGCATGTGCTAGCTTTCTTGTTAGCTTGTTAGCTAGCTAGATAGCTAACATTACTGAGTCGAATGAGTTTTTTTTCCCCCCTCTGTTGTTTATTCTAATGAAATGCCTGAGTGACAAGAGAGTTACATGGTAGTGTGTGGCTGTGATTATTTTATAGGACAATGGCAGCTGAAATCAACACCGAGGACTACCCACACGAGATAGACGAGCAGCTCACAGGCTTCGACTCCTCGGCTACTGCAGTGAAAACCATGCTGGAGAAGTTGATGTCGATGCCCAGGAATGAACTGCTGCAAAAGGTACAGTGGGCGCCGGGACTGGTCGTATTTGACTGTTAAGATTTGCACTTCTTATGCTTTCCTTATATGAGTCAAAATTTCACATGTAAGACAGACACATCTCGGGCTTACTGAAAATGAGACTGGCAACATTTACACACGAGTATGTTTGGTGCATTGGTGTGGAAAACAAAGGTAAAAAGCATCAAAATGCATTTATTTGTGTAGTTTTAAATCATCCGGTTTTTAGTTTAGGAAGAGGACAACTGCACCTGGACACCAGCATTAGCACACATTTAGATAGACAATCCTCACCATGTATTCTGCACTTTCTTTTCAGCACGTTGGTCTTTGACAAAAAATCTTTACATTTAATAAACTGAGAAACATGTGGCGTTTTGTGGTAGACAGGAGTCTGTGATGTAGATAAACGTAGTATCCTGTGCACATTAGCACACCAGTTAGGCTTCTTTTTGTTGGCACAGTGTTGTGATTAGGGCAGGTATAGTACCAATACAGTTTTCTGTTCATCTGCAATTTAACTAAATACAGGATGTTTTACCAGATTATTTGAATTGCTGTATTTGGAAAGAATTAATCATTAATCAGAGTAAATTGTCATATCAGACAAACCTCTATTTTAGTCATTGAAAAATGAGATTCATGTGAGCCTCTTTTTTGTTTCAAGCAGCAAAGAATTGTGTAGCATGATGTGTTTGAGTTCATTTGCCTTACTTCACATCTCACTTCCTATAATGATGTTTCTGTAAAGGGTAAAGCATAATTTATTTAAGTAAACAATACTGATCTGGGCTGCAAGGTTCTCTCCGGGTTCTCCGGCTTCCTCCAACAGTCCAGAAACATGCTGAGGTTAACTGGTGATTCTAAATTGTCTGTAAGTGTGAATGTGAGTGTGCTTGGTTGTCTGTCTCTAAGTGTAGCCCTGTGATAGACTGGTTACCTGTCCAGGTGAACCTGCCTTCACCCTGAGTCAGCTGGGATAGACTCCAGTCCCCCATGACCCTAGTGAAGATTAAGGTGCATCGATAATGGATGGATGGGTACTGATGTATTTTATACAGTTGTTAAAATAACCTAAATCTTGTTTATTTGTTGACAGTTGGATCCTTTGGATCAAGCCAAGCTGGATCTGATGTCTGCCTACACCCTGAATTCATTATTCTGGAGTAAGTTTGTTTTTCTGGATTTTGTGTGATTGTTATGTTGATTTGAAGGAATATAAATGTACAGCTTTTAATGTGAAAAACAAGTGAATTTAGGAGACTTATGCGCTGCTTTCTCCCTGTTACAAGAGTGTCAGTTTGTTTGTGCTCATGCACCAAATACCATTTTGTTTTGATAGTCTTGCCAGCAAAGGGATGTTTGCCTTTATGGGCTTGTGTTGCTCTGTTTAGAAGTAGTCTCATCATCAGACAATAGTGGGAAGTGTGGCCGGGTTTTAGTGACTTCACACATAATTTATTAAGCAACGATTCTGTGAGGAAATGGCAGTTATTGTGAGACATAAACACACACAGTTTTATTCCCAGAGCATGTGTGCCAAAGAGCTCTGTACTGGATTTATGTTGACTTAGAATTAAACCGTGTTTGTGTTTTTTGGTATTACGTGAAGATGAATTCTTGCTTTTCTTCTTGTTTACAGTGTACTTGGTAACACAAGGAATAAATCCCAGAGAACACGGAATCAAACAGGAATTGGTTCGTACTATCTCTGACATATTCACTCTCTCTGTGTATTCATGTATATTGTCTACATCCTCTGTAACTGTTCTGTGTTCCTCAGGAGCGAATAAGGACTTACATGAACAGAGTGAAGGAGATTACTGACAAGAAGAAAGCTGCCCGTCTGGATAAGGGAGCTGCTGCTCGCTTCGTCAGAAATGCTCTTTATGATGCAGAGGACAAAGATTCTAGAAAAAAAGCTGCATCCAAGAAAGCGGCAGACACGACATCAGACTCCCCACATCCAAAGCGTCCAAAGCTGAACTGAAACACAGGAGGATGTGGACGGTTCCTTTGCAATGTGAGCCGCGTTGAGGGGTAACGAACATTGAGGCAAATATTTTTCTTGGGCTGAGGCTGTATGACTGATCATACACGGGAACAAGACAGCAAAATATACATTGCCGTTCACCTGAGCTGCTCACCACTTGGGGTCAGATCTTGGTCGTTGTTGCCCTGCAGCCATCATCAAATGTTCCTGGAGGCGCTCGAACAAGAAAACTGCCACCTGAACAAGCCATGAGCATATGTCTGGACGCTGATGCTGGCAGCTGCTCTAGATTTAACACATATCGTGCTGTAACATCCTTTTGATATTGCTTTATACAAATCTTTGTATTTTGAAAGTGATTCTATGAATCATGAGTTCATTTTTGCGTCAGTATGTTTATACTCAGATGCCATGTTTTACAGTTTAAGTGATTCTTTGTTTTAGGATTTCCTCCAGATAAAAAATACTCACCAGACATTGTGTTTTAATGCTTCTTTTTCCCTGCTAATGCAGTTTATTGTGCTGTGATAACTGAACTCACAGGTTTATGAGGTCAAGTTAGATGATGCTTTCTTCAGACTCATTTGGTGTAAAAGCTACTGAGTAAATTCTGCACCGAAGAAGATCATCAGTAGTTGACCTGCTGGTTGATTAATCGATTACTTGTCAACTAATACTAATAAATGAATTGGCATCTGTTGTGATAAACTGTTAGAGCAACATTTTAAGAGAAAAAACACCCAAGTGCTGTGAATCCAGCTTCTTAAATTGGAATTTCTTGGGTTTCTTTACTCCTCTATGACAGTGAACTGAATGTCTCTGGGTTGTGGACAAGACAAGACATTTGAAGACATCATGCTGGGATTTCGGGGACACTGATTTACATTTTTCAACATTTTCTGAAATTTTATAGACCAGCTACTGAGAACTAATCAAGAAAATAATCGTCATTATTGATTATTGAACTGTAAACTGTAAACACAATCGCATGTCGTGGCTTTAGACAAGAGACAGCGTAGAATTAATTCTCATCTGAAAGCACAGAGTTTGCATCAACAGTGATTACACAGGTTTAATCTTGTTTGATAGGTTATAAGTGAGGGGCTGCAAGGTGGGTCGGCGGTTAGCACCATCGCCTCACAGCAAGAAGGTCGTTGGTTCGCGTTCCGGTTGAGATCTTTCTGCGTGGAGTCCCCATGTTCTCCCCGTGCAGTGTGGGTTCTCTCCGGGTTCTCCGGCTTCCTCCCACAAGGTCCAGAAACATGCTGAGGTTAATTGGTGATTCTAAATTGTCCGTAGGTGTGAATGTGAGTGTGCTTGGTTGTCTGTCTCTAAGTGTAGCCCTGTGATAGACTGGTTACCTGTCCAGGTGAACCTGCCTTCACCCTGAGTCAGCTGGGATAGACTCCAGCCCCCTATGACCCTAGTGAGGATTAAGTGGTGTATAGATGATGGATGGAGGTTATAAGTGATTGATTGGACAACATGAAACATGGTTTTAGAATCTGAACAGATGACTCGTGAACAATGTGGTTTATTCAGTGCTGTGTTTGCTCTTTGCCAATCTTGAGTGAAACTTCAACCTTCATTTAGCTTCCATCATTGAAATAATCAGCATCATTGTGTGTTCATATATTTAAAAGCAGAAAATAGAGAGAGAGCTGCTGCCTTGTGAATCGTAAAACACAGAGGCTGCCTTTGTGAACGAGTCCAAATTATGTATCCGACTAAATACAAATCAAGTAGAGCATTATTTAATCCGTGGCAGCAATTTGTGGGGGTCAAACCTGTGACCTTTTGATTACAAAGTGGCCTCTGTAACCATCACAAACAGCGCTGTAGCTGCATGGCTGCACAGTATAAGCATGTGCCGTAATGAGACTTCCTCTTCTAAAAACCAATGTCACATTTGATAAAGACACCCATATAGCTTCCTTTTTGTAATTCCCCCCGGACAGCCGAGATCTTAATCTTAATGTACCCGCAAGTCACTGCATCCCTCTAATCAAGCTCAGGAAACAGCGAGGCAGTGAGTTAGATTCTTAGGAATGCATCTTTTCATTCTTTTCATCATCTTTCCTTTTCTCATCCTCCCTGCAGCAGCGTCCAAAAATGACATTTGTTTAGCCAAACCTCCCTACTCCATCTTTTTACTTTTTCCACCGAGTTGTTGTTTCTAACTCTGTTCAAAGACATGTGTCAAACTTTGCCTGATGAACAGCCCCGTCTGCATATTGGAAAAATATGGATTTTTCCACTTTTTTTTTCTTCTTTTTTCCCCCCCTTCTTCCCTCCTCTTCTGTAACGTTCGCCTTCCTATGCCCTCGTCCACACATGTGCTCAGTATAAAGGAGTTAGGTCACTGCGCGAGCAAATTTGAACAAACAAACTCTCATGTTGAAATTGTGAGCCCTAACAAGCTCCAAACCCTGGTTTGTCCCGCGGTTGTTTATTTATGCTGTTTGTGAGCAGCTTGTGGTGAGGAAGTTTATATTACATGGAGTGAAAGGCATCAGACCAAATGACCTCCTCGGGCAAGATGGAGGCAGAAGCAGCTCTCCTCGCAGACTTTTCTATCTCCCAAAAGGATGAAGTGCGCCGACAACAGACTGCATTAACCTGCTCTGAGCACCAAACGGGCTCAACACATCACCGCAAATCACATAATTTGACTATAAGTAGTTAGAAGATGGTGTAAATAAACAAAACTATAATAACAACCAACTAAAATGAAAAAAAAACCCTCAAAAATGTTTATCTAATCACAGATTTCCACTGGTGTTTTCTACAGTATCCTGAAGTATCAACATGTCTTTCCATCAGATAAAGTCAAGGAATCTGATTATCATCTATCAATAAGTTTTACTGGATCACGTGTATAAACTAAAATTGTATTTCTCTGTCTCTCCTCACAAGCATTTCAAAGGTTTCAGCCCATTTGTAGTAGAAACCAAAGTGCGGTTCTCCTCAGAAAAAGAAATTTTAAACAAATCAGGAAGAAGTAAATGTTTCTTAGGTTCTGATAGCGTTCCAGTTTAGAAATGGAAAGAATTTCGCAACACGTCACTGCAGTTAAACAAAGACAAGGAGTCAAAAAACGTGACACTCAGAGTTTCCTCTTGATCTTTGAAACGGCGCTAGAGAGAGTGATGTGAGCACGAGGTCCATTTAGTAGATGTTCTGGAGCGTTGGATCAGGTCACATGGACTTCTCCATCATGTTGGTAGATGTTGAGAGTCAAAGTTTTGCATTTTTGCACACAAGTGTTTAGTTTTATGTGACTGAGGTTCAAAAACGACAGTGTTTCATGTCATACATATGTATATTTGAATGATTATGTTAAACAAAAAACCTCTTTCTAATGTTCTGTTGGGTCCAAAATAGTTCTAACCCGCTGATGTGTGACTTCTGAGGGTGTTGTCTGACCAGATGATGTTCTCCGCAGATCCGTAGCGGGCTGCAGCAGGAGCCATGATGGAGTTTGTAGGTTGAGTTGGGCTCTTGGTTGTGTTCCTCGAGTCATTCCTGAGCAGTTTTTGCAGCGTGACGGTGCACGTTGTCCTGCTGTTTGAGCCACAGGCAGGAGCACGACGACGTTTAGGTGGATGGTACACGTCAAAGTAACATCCACATGAACGGCAGAACCCACAGTTTCCCAGCAGGACTTTGTATTGGAACAAGATCATCAACTTTATTCACTAATATTGTGGCTGATTAGTGTTTATGACAGAAAGTAAGGAAAAAGTGTGCACATCCAACCTCAAATGGGTACAGGGTAAGACAAAGCACTGAAATAACATGACAGGGTTTAAAAACAGTAAAGTTTTTGTCTAATAGAGATCTTAAAAGTCAAAATGTTGAGACAAGTTTCACATCTTAACCTGAAGAAAGTGATGCCAAAGCACTTTCCTGCTCTTGTTACTCATATAGAAACAAATAGTTTCTTGGGGAAAACAATTTCTCACGAAGTTCATCAGATATATATTAAAGATTGGGGGAAAAAAACAAACTTCACAGCAGTAATCCAGTGTTTAAATGTGACTCCTCAAACAAAAGGAGCATCAGTAGCTGGACGTTTTCACCAAAAATAACAGCACACGAAGCCACTAAAGCACCTTACTCCACTTACTGTCTCCTTCCTTCTGCTCCACCAGATTTACAAACCTGAAGTGCATCACCTCCACAGACCTGAAAGCATCGCATTTCAGTCTAAGTCGTACGGAAAGATGAAGCCCACCGGGACGAGTTTTCCTTGGAAAAGCTGGGCGAAAGTGAACGAACGAACGCGAGCGAAGGACGGACATTGCGGCTTTATTCTGTCCGACACACCAGGAATTCCATACAGTCATTTGTGCCACTCTCTATCCGCCTCGGCCTCGCTGACAGAGCCACTGATTAATCATGATAACAATGTTTTGGTTTTGGTTAGCCCTCACCTCCCGGCGCCCAGACAAATTACTTTTTTTAAGAGTCAGCAGGTGATGCAGGAGTTCAGACCACCAGTGTGACCAACGGAAACTGAATTCTTATCCGTTTAACACTTTAAACTCTGCTGTTGTTCATGTTTTTGTGGATTTAAAGTGAATTAATATTCTCTTTTAGTGAAACAAACCAATACTGGAAACAACTAAAGCAAGCGTTTCATAATCACATTTTTGAGGTCAGAGCTGCTTCTTGTCTCGTAAATTTGCCATTTTCTTACTTAATTTGTCTGTCTGGAGTCGGTATCATTCCTACGTCATGTTCGGTTTGTCTCGGCGATAATGTGCAGACAGCATACAAATTGCTAAGGATGAATCTGACACATTAGGAAGATTGAGTTGCCCCGTCTCTCTTTTCCTTAATCCATCTGCGGGGAGTTTCTGCAGCGTGCTACTTCTCACTTCCAAATGATTCCTGTTCTCTGGAATTTTTCTGAATCCTCCAAGAAAAGAAGCAGCCGTACCTGGACAGTTTCATCAAAAAAAAAAAAAAACAAAACCCACAAATCTCTAATGCACCTTTCCTCGCTGCTCTCTGCCTCTGACTCTCTCCCCCACCGCTGTACGTCCCACTGGGGTTTGGCCATACAAGAACGTGACGCCATGCCGAAAATATGCACAAAGCGAGGCCTTGAACCCTCCTCACTAAACACATCACATCATCATCACACTTCATTGAGTTTCCATCCTTTACCTTCCTCCTGCCAGTGTGTTTGACAAAAAAATCCACACAGAAACGCCGCTCGGTGAATGAGTTAGGCTTGGCCCGCCATCTATCAGCTTTAAATGAACTATTAGGCCCTCTCTGTGAGTGAATGTTGTCCTTTGTGTCAAAGTCAAGTCAAACTCGTGAGTCTGATTGCGATTGTACCGAGTAGGTTCAACATCTGAATGTGTGTAAATATGAAAAAGGAAATTGCCTTCAATGACCTTTTAATGGATAAATAAAGTTTTGAAAATTAAACATTCTTATTAAAGCGGGATTATTCATCGT